TTTATGTGTTTCTCTAGTTTGTCGTTTAATTATTATCTATAGTAGTTTTTGATAAAGTACTATAATATTACCAACGTCTGTCGAAACACATCCCATTATGATTACTTGTAGGTAAACATGAACCAGTCAGCAATTCAAGTGTTGAAAGTGTAGTCAAATTTGGTCATTTATTCCCACCAGAATTTTGATTCAAAATTATCCAGACTAACTGATTCGAGGGGAAGCTAGACATGAAACTTGTGCATAGACAATGCTTTGATAGAGAACAGTTTAGCTGGCTTTCAGCTACTATATAACTATCCACCATTACTCGGCAGTGTGAATGGAACAGTGAAATAGCTAGCTGACGTTCAATAGGCTATAGCTAATCTGAAGCGAAGAAGAGCAGTTGTTCCAGATGGATTGGCTCCAGATGTCTTTAAGGATGGTGGTCCAGTTTTGGCAATTAGGTTGACTAATATTTTAGCTAAAATCTGGTAGTGGGACTTGATCTCGTCTGACTGTTCTCAATCACTGATTGTCCCAATATATAACAAAGGGTCAAAATCATTCTGTGATAATCAGAGAGGGATTAGTTTGACTAATATAGCCTCAATAATTGTCGGGCGTCTAACTAAGACTCGTGAACTGGGGACACGAGAATATCAGGCAGGCTTCAGACCTGGTCGTGGCTGCATCAACTACGCATTCATCATTCGTCAGGTTCTAGAACATAGGCATGCTTATCGGCGTCCGACAATGGTGGTCTTTCTTGACTTAAAAGCAGCATTTGACTCCGTAGACCGAGAGATTCTGTGGCAGTGTCTGTCATTGAAAGGCGTACCTCAGAAATACATAAACCTTGTGAAGGCTCTTTACTCGGACACTACTAGTCGAGTCAGAGCTTATGGCGAACTGTCATCTGCATTTGTGACCTCAAGTAATGTCCTTTAAGGTTGTCCACTTTCTCCATTTTTGTTTAACTTCATCATAGACCTATTGATGGAAATAACATTCTCGTCGACTGAATTCTCGGGTATTGATCTCCTTCCAGGAGGTCCACTTATCGACTTAGAATACGCAAATGATATAGTCCTGTTTGGTGAGGACGCTGATAAAATGCAGAGTCTTTTGGTAGCACTAAGCAACAATGCCAGAATGTTTGAAATTCGCTTCTCTCCCTCTAAATACAAGTTGTTGCTTCAGGACTGGTCTACGTCAACACCCAAACTGAGGATAGGGAGTGAAGTAGTCGGACGCGTTGTCAACTTCAATTATCTTAGAAGTCTGATCCGCTATAATGGTTTGATGTCTGACGAAATCTCGGCACGGACTCAAAAAGCCCGTTTGGCTTTCACTAACTTACGTCACCTATGGCGAAGGTGAGATATCCGTCTATCAACTAAGGGACCAGTATACTGAACAGCAGTTCATTCTGTTCTAATTTACAGCTGCGAAACGTGGCCGTTAAGAGTAGAAGATATTCGTAAGCCACTAGTATTCGATCACAGATGACTTATAAATATTGCTCGTATCTTCTGAGATCACAGGGTAAGTCATAGTAAGGTTAAACGCAGGGTATTAGGGAATGATGGTAAATCAGTTGATGAGGTTGTGAATCTTCATCGACTGAGATGGTTGGGCCACGTGTTACGTATGCCTGAACACCGATTACCGCGACGTGCAATGCTAACCGGTGTAGGGGATGGTTGGAAGAAAGTTAGGGGCGGCCAAACCAAGACGTGACATCAGTGCCTGAAGTCACTAACTTCTAGTCTTAGCCATGTTGGTAGACGAAGACTACTCGGTTGGGGTCCACGTGACTATCGTAACCAATGGTTGGAGACTCTTGGTGACATGGCTCAGAATCGATCACAATGGCGTCGGTGTATACACTCTCTTTCTCCCCTTAAACTAAGAGATTAAAATCACTTCATATCTTTCTTTCTACGAACTAATTCTTTCTTCCTGTACCATATCATTATTGCAATCTTTCTTTGATATATTACCACCATTGACCTAACCACTCCTATGAACTCGGTGTTCATCGTGTTGTGCTAATGCTGTATGGCAAATTGGATCGATGCATATGTGTGCCTGGTTTTACGTTGTGGCTGGTTGAATTTGGTAGCTCCTCAAATCAAGCCTTGTCTTTGCGTCCAGAAGAAGTATATCCAATCCTTTCATTTTACTATGGTTCCAGTACACCCTGAGTTTTTTATTAGTTGTTTTTTTATCAAACATGCATCTCTTTCGCATCTTTATAATATACGTCAAGTAGACTATTGTCTCTTTTATTCAATATTCTAATTTTTATTAGAGTTTGGCCATTACATAGATTTGTTACTCAGAATAGGATAATACTTTCATTTAATATAGAATAAAACATATTGTTTCTAGAAGAACATGACTGTTCAGCTCAAGATTTTTAAAAAATTACTAGACGATATCGTAAGCGGAACTAAACGGACTCTGTTAATAAACATATTTTTTCAGTCACATGAAATGGCTTAATTACTATTCTTTATAGTTCTTTACTTTACTTAGTCCAGAATATTTGTCAGTGTCCAACGAAGATGTAGTCGATCGTTAAGAGGTTAATTTAAATGAATGCATGTAGTTATGTGAGGTTAGGTGAATGCGCCTCTATACGTACTTATTAACTGTAAGGAAGTGAATAAATAGAGCGGCAGCTAATCAGTGTATTTAAATATATGCATTTAAACAACACAAATAATATGGCTCTATAATATGTTGTGTAAGTTTATCATATTCTTATAGACAAATTCATTTCACTCATCTATTTGTCTGACGGTATATTGGTTTACTTCCCTATTGTAACCAAGTTTCAAAATGTTCCTAAGTAATCAGATAATTAGAAAAACCATTATTACTTAATTCTTAACAAGAAAAGAAGTATATTAAGAACATGAACAAATAACTGAAACATGTTTTCCGGCTTAATAAATTCAACTGTAAAAAGTCGTTTTCATTTTTAGATAACTGGCTACATAAAAATATAAGGCCAACCATTGTTGAATGTTACATTCATGTCATAATGTGTGTTATCTTCGGATATCTGATGGAATAAAAAGTAGATTGCTGGCATTTCGTTCAAGACGTGCCGTAATATGTTGGTTGATAATGTAAAATACTAAAACTTTTATAAAGTCTTACAGGCATTTTGTGATGTTATTACTTGATTCATACAACCGACCACAAAATCCTCAGTGATGAATATTTTAAGACCGAAATCTGTGGACTGACTTGCAACTACCCTTGTTTTTAATGGCAGGTATCAGATATGCTAAATTCAGCCAATAAATTTAATCATTGCCAGTGTTTAATTTGTTACAAAATATATATTACTATTTAAAGATATTAAGTAGTATAACATTACCACCCAAATCTACCAACTGTTTCTTGGACGTCAAATAGCGGTTAAAAGGAATTTATGATGAGACCACTTTTTGTGTGTGCCTTTGTTAATGCAACTGAAAGTATTTTAACACGACAGCTGAAAAAATTTTTAAATCTTGTACCTTCAAATCTAATATTTTTAACTGCTCGCCATATTATTGAATAAGTTAAACATTTTTACTCAATAAGAGAATGGTTATTGACTGTAATTTAGGTAATAAGACTGTACCGTAGTCTACCAAGGGTTGATACCTCTATGATCTGAGGAAAAACTGTTTAATGGGGCTGACAAAACTTACGTAACAAAAATTACTTATGTTCTTATATGACTAACTTCTCACCATCTCCTGTCTATTCAAAGGAATGTTAGTAGTCACTATGAAATCCTGCAAGATTTCCTATATTTAAAGTTTCCATAACTTGAAGCAAATTTTATAATATAAGTCATAAAGTGAACACTTGTACTCTTCAATCCGTAAACAACAATGAAACCCATACAATTAGTTGCTCGTTTTAAATAATCCATGAAAATCCAACACATGTAATGTTGGTTGGAAACAGAAAAACAAGCTGAATAACTGAAGGCTAATAGGAACCAAGAGGCGTAAGACCTATATTATTCCAATTCACTTTAGACTAGATAAAAATGTGATACAAATATAAGGGACAATTATCGTAAAAGTTCTTTTTGAACCCTTAATGGAGATCACTGAAGTAGAATAAACTTGTATATTAAGATTCCATAGAATTCAAGTCAAATATATTCGCTCCTACCTTTATATAAGATTACACATACATATTCATCGACCTTAAAGAGCTCAGTTAGAGCATCAAGTGACTTTCGCAAGGAAGCTATGGCTAGAGAACTTAACCAAATGAAAAAAGTTAAAGGGTTATAACAGGTTGAGTAAAATACGGAGGTAACACACGACGGAAAGCGTGTTAAAATAAATAAGCTCATGACGAATGATATTCCTAACATCCAATATATTCAAACTTATATCAATTTTACTAAAGAACCTAAAAAGAAGAAACCGTCAATAAAAATCTCACTACAAACAAAGCTGGCTTTAGAATCACATGAAAGAACCACACTTACATTTTTAGAATTCTATTTTGAAAAGAGAGATAACAAACTTTTAGCCTATATTAAGTAACAGAATTTTCACTTTTACTAAGATTCAGATGTGATGATCTTCTTTCCCTTACTAATACACACAATCTTCGATAGATGGGAGTACTTAAAGGGATACTTTTTGCAGAAGTGTAAAACGTATGATTTATGACAGTAATACGGGTAAAGAAACTTGGCATCATGAATGATAACAGAAATAAATAAATCAATGTTGCTAATGTGCAATCTTCAAATATCTTATACGAACAGTATTATATTTTAATTAGATTGTCACTGTGATGAATAAAAGTTCTGCAAATAATGTGGAGCCAAACTTCCGACGTATGATACTGATCACCCTAACTGATCAGTATTCATTTGGATGATTATATATATATATATATATATATATATATATATATATATATATATATAAGCATTAAGTTTACTTGCTAATCCCGGAGAAGTTTTTCTTACAAAAACTTACCTATAGCTAGATTTTCTGTTTTTTGAACTGGCTTTTCTCCAGTTGCAGCAATAAACCAAGAGTTGATTAGATTCAACAGAATGATTAATAAACGTCTCCAGATAAGCATCCTATTTAAACATTTTCAAACGACCTAGGAAAATGTCTACTCCTAAAATTGAAAAATAAGAAAGTTTAACATTTACGGCAAGAAAATCAAATCGTGAATCACTTTTCAATGTCAAAGATTTTAAAGTCTGTCAATGAAAACTGTGGTCTGTTTTTCTTTCAAACTTAAATGGTTCGAACGATTTATCTGGTTAGTGTCCTTGCACTAAGATATTTTTATGAAGTGTGTTGCTAACCCCACACCTGATTCCTCTTCTGTATCAGGACTTGAGAGTAACAGCAACCCCTAGAAAAGTTCCTGGAAGATATATCCCTGACAATAAAGGTTCAATCACGGTTGCTTAGTTTTCACCCTAAGCAACATCACCATTCCCTTTTCAGGAAAAATGAATATTTTATCTGATCTACCAGCATCAAACTTAAAAGGTAGATCAAGTTAAACTTGATTCGTTGTAATTCATTGAAACCACAACCATTTAAATATTACATGCATGATGATCTAAAAAAACAAAATACAATAAATCCATTTTGTTTACTACGAATTGAATTATTACCTCAGTAAAACCACTTTAGAAAGTTTATCTTTTACATAAGTATGACTTTTTATATTAACTAAAAACAATATTATCTGTATGCAAGTAACTTCCAAATCTGTACCATTCAGAATCTTTAGCACAATGATGGAAGTTGTGTTATCTTCAGTCTATAAATATGTGCCTCTCTCCAAACGTAAGTCATAAATACTGCCAAATGTCTCAAACATTTGTTAATCTCCTAATTAAGAACTAGGATATCTCATTTATTAATGCTTTTAATAATCGAATATCGTTCAAAAATCATAGATTAGTACAGTTCAGAAAAATGAAAAGATACACAGAATAATTCTGTCAAATATTTCATCCTTTTAACATAATGTTACTCAATGTATAGGCTAAAATTGAAGTTTAATGTGTAAAATATCAGCCAAATGTTTGACTTTTAGTAAATTTATAATAGTTATATCCAAGCCAATGTTATTCAACTCCATGTGAATAACTAAACTGACATAATTAAATTGATTATTTACCAATACAAGATTATATGAAAACGAAATCTATCATATTGATTACTAACTAACGTACAACTACTATTGTCATGTTAACGAATTTTAATAAATTTTTAGAAGCATCATCATCTACAAAATAAATTGTGCCAACTGTGAAAAACACTACATCGGACAAAGCGGACGCCCCCTTCACCTTCGCCTACACGAACATCAATTAGCAGTCAAACGCCATATCTCCTCACTTATATCAATACACGTGGACAACTTCGGACACTCATCCGATCGGGAAAATGTGGAAATCTTGGACAGAGGAAATTCCAAAAACACCAGAGAATTTTTAGAAGCCTGGCACTCAGGTCAACCAGCAATCAACAAGCATATTGAAATCAATCCAAGTTACCAAACAATCAGGAAAATTATGCACAAATATAGGAACAAAGTCAAACCAATGGGAGACACGACCAAAACAAAGAAGTAAATAATGACAAATTTAAGGTCAATAAGAACCAATAAACATCGAGGTGCACAGAACAAGCTGTGAAACGCATATGGAGAAATTCGAACACTCCACTTCTATCTGAAGTTTGTGCTGATGATGTCGTTCAGAAGAACGATGAAAGCTCCACGACTAAACCATCCAGCTCAGAGAACAAAAATCTACCACAATTTTAGAAGCATAATTTGATTACGGATTCACTACATGTATTATAAATGTAGTTAAAACAAAGTTTAATTTCCTAAAATGTGGGATTTTAAAAGTAGATCGTTTTTTAAGAATCATTGTAACAAACAAAAACACACGAAAATATAATTTCTTTCAAATTGACAATTTATTCAACATATCCATTAGCGACAATCAAATATGTTTTTGTCTTAAAATCCTCAAATCTTCAAATCATCTATTATATTATGTAGAATCGATTTGCCTAATAGATTATTCCATTATGAAAATGATGGACTATAAGTATTGGTATTATAGCAACTCATGTGCGATTGAGTTTGTTCACATTTAATTCGATTAAGTCATTTTGTCAGATTATTAACGAGCTGAATCATCCGTACAACAACAGCCTATTTATATATCATTATGTGTTTATTATTGTTGCGAATGTATAAACATGTATGCTTGAGCATTGCTTACTGCCTACGCATATATTCACTCTGCTAGCCTTACTATTAATCACTATGTATATATATGTCCACGTTATTCATGTTCATTGCTCTCGCTTATTTACACTCGCTTATTTGCACTCTCTGACTCGTACTCGTATTCGCTAACTCACTCGCCTGCTTTCTTTTCGGCACAACTCTTCCATGTTTGCATAACGCACCTGTAATTTTGGATATGTGTGCGGTCCCATAATAAACGTAATGACCACTTCGCATTCGCGTTCTGATTAATATACCGTTGGGAGCGTTAACTGGGGACGGTTTTCAAGACGAAGTGTATACGAAGTTTAAGGACTATATTGAATACCGACCACCACAGTATGTTAAACCAATAAAAAGTCATGATTCCTCTCTTTACAAGATAATCAAGAGATATTTTGTATTATGCCTAATATTTTAAAACTTTAGTATGGAAATAAAATAGTTTGATCTGAAGAAGAACAATTTTTCTTGTGAAATGTCGAAAATGCTCTAGGCAAGAATAAAATTTATGAACGAACCAATCAGATTTAAAATAACAGATCTTAAATTCTGGTGTGAAATTCACTCATACCATTTTGATAGTATAGCTGATGTTAGTTCATAATAAAAACATTAGACCTAATTCCTTAACCTATCGTTAAGTTGTTAATCTTAATCCTTATTCCTCACACTAATCTATAACCTTCATTTAACCTTAGTAAGTATGTGGATATTTTAAAGTCATTTTAGCATTGCTCAAAGATCGTCCATAAATTATCGTCTTAACGTGCTCTATACTTATAAACTATATTTTATAAATATTATTTTGAATAGTTTCTTTCCATATAAATGGTTTCTATGTTACATGAGGAACTAGGGATTATGAATAATAAAAAGAATCCTAATATTAAATAAGCGAAAAACTCATTATATGTGAAAATTATATTTGAAATAATCTCAACAATTGAAATTTCAATAATTCCGACGTTTCGTCCAGCTAACTTGTCTGGACTTCCTCAGGGTAATAATCAAAATTAAAATCATTAAAGAAATATATAGTGTTTTAATAATCAAATCAGATCAACTCTATACTGTGTTAATCCAATCATATTTAGATATTGATTTTCAGTAAATAGGATAACATATGTCAGTTAAATGAGAATCATGTGAAAATTTCAATGACATGGTAATAATTAACTGAAAACAAATTGTAAGTGTATGAGTGTGTATTGTCAGTTATTATGCCAAGCCCATATACCTTATTCTGGCTTTCGGACATCCCATTCTATTCATTCTACTTGAGTCATATTCTGACCTTGTCAATCTATCCGCTTATCAGTCTTGACTGTTTTTATATGAGCGTATATGTGTGTGCCCTTCTTATTCCATTAATCACATGTCTGTAGCTTAATTTTGTCTGACTATAAATATTGAGTAACGCTTGACTAAAGTGGAGTTGGTTTCCCAGCCATCTTCCCTGCGCGTCATTTTGCTTGGCTCTGTTTCATTCGCCTCATATACGAAATATATGTATTCTCAAGTCAATTCTCGTTATTCGACTTATTTAATTCCGTTATTGACTAACGCGATTTAAGTCGACGATTATATACGAGAATAGGCGATAACAATCATTCGTACGATCTAAATAGGAGTCAGATCTATGGGCCACTAAAAGTGTGTAAGTATGTTTTTGATTTTTAAAAGTTATATATTTCCTCGATGATTTTGATTTTGATTATTACCCTGAAGAAGTCCAGACAAGTTAGTTGGACGAAACGTTCGAATTATTTTAAATTTAAATAGGTGAGATTATTTCAAATATTTTCACATACAATAACTTCCCTATACTTGGCACTAATTTCTTCAGACTATTCGTTTAATCTTGACGAATATTCGTATAAGTGAAAAATTGTTTATATAAAATCATACATAGTAATAATTTTAATTGAAATTGACAAATGGATTATTCAAAGAGAACAACATTTTAATGATTAAATAATAAATGGGACAATGTGAAAATGTGAAATAAACATTTGATTTTATTATTATAATAAAAGCATTAAAATAAAGATACAATAATCCATGTTCATGTTTTGTTTTCAATATTCAATATATTAAATAAATAATACAGAATGATAAGATTGATTGATTGATTTGTGTATGTATCTATACAACTATTGTTAGCGTGATATATTAAATGAATGATAGATACATATATCAGTTTGTTGCTAAGGGACTAAATTTCGGACGTCAAGTAAATGAAAAATGAGTTTTAGCTTATTATTTTAATATCAAACATAATTTCATTAAAATTAAAATCATTTTATGTGTTAACAATTTATTTCCCTCATAAATTATAGTTATTAAACTTACCTTATTTAACGATAAAATACACTTAGCCTTATTTATTGTTAAAGTAGATGTAGAACACTGCTTAAAACATAGATTCGTTTTAAGAGGATATATCAACAACGCTTTTGAATATGTCTTGAATATTCTGGACCAAAAAAAAACACAAAATATTTGGTGTCAATAAATCAATTGTCAGAAGTAAAAGATCTATCGTCTCAGAATTTCCATGATAGTTATTATTATCTTAAAATTAGTCTTTCTCTTCTTGTATGTAAGTTAGACAAATTAAGTGATGGAAAATATTGCTTATGATTTTAAGGTTAATCGAGATCATTCGCTTCAACTATTCATTAAGTGGTATAGATAGAAAATCATGATATATTGTATATTAATTAACGTCAGCTAATAAACTCAAACTTTTGCTTAGTAAACCACTGTATTATACAATGGTAGATAGGTTAATATTTATCTTC